GATTAAAAAGGCATCAAGTTATTTCCTCTAATAGAGAGGAACTTCTCTGCACACCGAGTTCTGTCTTGGAAGGCTAGTGGCTTGATTCTGAGAATTGTGAGATGCTCTTCATAGGAGATTCTGGGTGTGTACAGATGCTGACAGCCACGTGTCAACGGTGCTGCAGGATCCAGCTGCTTCTGTTGCAGGCATAGACTTGGTGGTGCCAGGAAATGTCTGAGACTTTGCCCTTTTATTCCGGATTCAGGGTTATTCTTTGGTACCACAATTCACACAGGCATTTCTAGCCTGTCTTGGTTAGCGTTGTGGGTAACATCAGAAATGGAGCTTGACTTCTAACAAGCAGGAGAGCTAACTTATTCTGAAATTAAATTCGGATTAGCCACAGTACCTCCTATCTCTGAAAGCTGTGCTGAATAATAAGGTGAAACCGAACACTGTGCCCAGGAAATTTATGCCACATTTGCAGTGACATTTCCAATAAAAAATTGAATTGATGAGCAGAGAGTTCATCATGCTGTAAATGTATATGATCTCATGAACCACTCTCCACTGGAGTCATAATGAACTGGTGGTGGGCCCCAAGCTACCCAGTGATGTTTCTGGCTTGCCTTTCGGTCAGCAAGAACTAGGCAAGCAGGCGCAATGGCTTCTGAGGAGAGCCAGTTAAGAAACTGGATTTGCCTATACAAAGCACACGATTTTAGTCTGTCCTGATTTGGAACAGATATAGCTGGTTTTCTAGCTAGAGGCGTGGTGACGATGACTCAAAATGAATTTCTCATTTAGACATATTCTGAAAGGTCTATAAAGAAAATACTCCTAAGTGAACCGAAAGGGACAAAATGATATTCTAGTACTGCTGTTTTTAAGCAGTGGCCTGTAAGCCTGGGCCATTAGGTATTAATGGTCCTTTCTCTACTGCAGTGAAAACAGAACTTGCTTTAGCTCCAGAGAAACCTGGTTTTAGCATTCATCTAAACAAATGAAAAATACGTTTGTGATCTCCTTTCAGCTTTTTGAAATTCCAACACTGAGTATTTTTTAACCAGTATACATTCGATTCCTCCAGTGATCATGAGCTCTGCTATTAATATGTATACACAACACCTTAAAAATCAGCTCTCAGTGCAATCTGCTATTGTGTTTTGAGTGAACGACTCATGACTTCAGGTTTAAATGGTAGCTACAGAGAAAGCTCATCTGAGTTTTTTTTAAATGATGTTCTCTTTCCAGGTGAAGTGTTGAAATAATTCTTTCAGTTAATTTTTCTGGAATCCAGTGAAAACATATCACCCCATTTTCCTCCTCCCTCAAGGGAACAATTAACTATTGCTCAAGAACTAATGCAACAGTCTGAAGTTTTTATTGAGTAAGACCTATTCCCTCCCTCCAGATTTAGATTTAAATCTCAAATTAAAAAAATTGACATTTAAATAGTTCACCAAAGTTCGAAAAATGTCCAAGTGACTACAAGTTTTTTACTTCATAAATAAATCACATTTGGTGGCTTCACCAAAGTTTTGATGGAAGCCAAGTAGTGTTGTAAAATTAGGGTTCTCCTAGCATGGTGTCATTCTATGGGGTGGTCTGTCTCTCATGGGTGGAAAGAAATCATTTCATATCAAATGTGTGTTACAATTATGAGAACTGTCCTGGGTTTTGAAAAAGTATCCAAATGTTGACAGTTTACTAAGACAATGCAAACTGGTCAGCCCCAGAATACGTGATTTACAAAAAGAAAAGAAACGTACTCATTAATCCTAGATGCTGAAGACCCCAGAACAGTTATTGGGAGCTCTATTAAAACTAGTTATTTATGTAATCCCCCCATTTGGCTCTTCTAAAACCTATAAGACCCCTTAGATCTGTTCTGTCCAATATAGTAGCCACTAGCCACATGTGGCTATTTAAACTAAAAAATATATACAATTAAAAATTCAGGTCCTTAGTCCCATTTCAACCTCTCAATATACACCTGGGGCCGGTGGCTACCATATTGGGCAGTGCAGGTACTGAACATTTTCCTCATTGCAGAAAGTTGTATTGGAAGAAGAAAAAAGAAATATTGAGGAGTTCCAATGCAGTAGGCATTATTTTTGCTCTAGATTCTTCTCATTTCACAGTGAAGAAGCTTAACCTCAGAGAGCTTAATTCACTAGCTCAAGTCACATAACTGATACAGAGTCATTAGGACTCTAACCAATTACCCTCGACTCCAAGCCCACAGCCATTTCCAATATATGGCCAAGTGCTGACTCATCCACTTATCTCTCTAACACATTCTTAGTGATAGAGAGACTGTAGGTTTTAATAACTATTACAGGACAACAGGTGAAAACTGATACTGAACGAACTGGTCCCTCCACTTACTGAGGACCTGTGCTAGCAACTGGGGCTGTCATGTTAGGAGGAGGAATACATTTCCTGGCTTCATAGCACTTAGAGCCTAGTGGGGGAGTCAAACATTCAGTATATAATCAAAAACTAATTATCAGCCACAACTGTGCTAAGTATCAAGGAGGAGAGCCCATCTGCTTTGGGGGAGGATTCCAAATCCCATTAAATAACAACCATAATAATAATTAGCAATGAAGCTTTAGTTTCCAATGCCTGTAAAGTTCAAATCAGTAAGATAAGTCTATGATACTGTGGGCCTCCTGATGGATGAGCCCACTGTAATATTTATGCCTGGTAAACAGAGAGATCTATTTCATTCAAGGTCATCCTGGGTTAGCATGACCAACTTCAACTTCATCTCATTCTACTTGGGTAGAGGTACTTCTGAAATGAAGAGCTGAGATCGGCTAATTTGTCAACATTACAAAGCAGGAGCTTTAACATCGTAACTCTTCTCCCTCATTGAATCTTCCCGGCAGCGGCAGCTGACATACGATCCTCGCAGATGAAGGTGCCATAGCGTGACTATTTCTCGACCACACTGGCTGAGGGTCACATAGGGGAAAATGCTTCTTCTTAGCCATTTCTTTGTCATTTTTAACAGGTTTCAACTAAATACTCATACAAGGAGATTGAGAGCCAATATGCTATACCATCAAATGTAAAAGGCTGGAAAAAAAATCAAAGCCATAAACTGTTATCATTTTGAGTATTTTATTCCTTGAATGTTACTCTATTAGTTTCAATAAAAGGACAACAGAATGTCCATTATACCATAACTTGACATGCTTATTATGCCAATACAATTAGTTTTTGCAAAGCACTCATGTACCGGTTGTAGTTTATAGAAAAATTGATTTCACAGAATCATAGAAATTAGAATTGGAAACATTCTATTAGGTCACTAGATACATCCCCTGAGACTAATGTAGAATTGATCCCTAGTTCACAGTGTATTATCTGATGCCTTTTTCTCTCCAGTTTTGATAGGCTTATATATTTATTATAGGCTGGCAATATGTACCCCTAAAAATTATACCAATTCATCTGAGAAATGAAACTCTAGAATAAGCATTTGCTGAGCACTAATTTTACTGTGGTGGATACATTTTTAATATACTAGTGTTTATAGCTTCTCATCTTGTAAGAGACAGGTAGTAGCACTGGATCGTGGGTTAGCATTACAATCAAATAGTGAATTTGCATATCTTAAGTTGCAGAAATTTCCCCAGACATCATTTCCCCGTCAGATTCCTACAAAATGTGGTATGAATTTTTGATCCTCAAGAAAGACCTTTTTTTTTTATGTACAGGAAATTGAGCCCTGTACCTCATGCAAGTGCCTGCAATTAAACACTTGGCTGGACTGACATTTTCTTCTTTTGGGGCAGTGTGTACAAAGCTGTGACTCTTGGAGAAACAAGGAAGTGGCAGATGAACTCTGAGCTGGGGGGCTGGGGGGCTGGGGAGGGTCGCAGCAAGGGCTGGTGTTGGATAAACTCTCCGTGTCCTTCCTTCCTTCCTTCTTCTTAGCAGCGACTCAGGGAAGAAGGAGAGCAGGAGAGCGCTTCGCCAGCAAAATTTACATAAAATACAATCAGCCTATAAACTCCTGGGGTGGGCTTCCCTGGTGACGCAGTGGTTGAGAATCTACCTGCTAATGCAGGGGACACGGGTTTGAGCCCTGGTCTGGGAGGATCCCACATGCCGCGGAGCAACTAGGCCCGTGAGCCACAACTACTGAGCCTGCGCGTCTGGAGCCTGTGCTCCGCAACAAGAGAGGCAGCCATAGTGAGAGGCCCGCGCGCTGCGATGAAGAGTGGCCCCCGCTTGCCGCAACTAGAGAAAGCCCTCGCACAGAAACGAAGACCCAACACAGCAAAAATAATAAATAAATACATTAATAAACTCCTACCCCCAACATCTTCTATAAAAACTCCTGGGTCTTCCAGGTCAGATGGGTGGGATTGCTTCTTTTTGCTTCAACACAAACAATTCAGGAATTCTCTTCCCCCTTTAAAACCAGCCTTGAATTTCATTTGCACTGGAATTCATTGATTAAAGATGGAGAGAAGTGCACACTGTGATTTTTTTTTCCAGGTTTGCCAGGTTTCCCCTTTACCCCTTGCTCCTTCATGGAGATAACAAAGCAGTGTGTTGGGTGTGAGCTAGGTTGGTGGGGGCCAGGAGGGGGATCAGGGTTGTGTGTGGAAAAAGGCAGAGAGGAAGACACAGAAATGTAGCATTCAGCTAAATGATGCCTAACTCCCCTTGTTCTTCACATTCTCGTGTCCCTATTCAAAAGCCCGGATGACATTGTTTGTCCAGGACACAGCTGATGGGAGTTATGTCTGGAGAGCTCCCAGAGAAAGTCTTATGCATCTTTTATACACCTGCACATTAAATGAGCAAGAATGCCCAGGTGCTAAGACATGATTTTCCGGTAAATTATGCAAACAAGTAATTTTGTTTGTCCAGAAAGTAGTGCTATCAGTGGTACAGTTTTCCTAAACACTCCATCATTTAGGAGAATGCAAACTGAAAGGCAGTCAAACGGCAACGAGACCTACTTGCTCAGCACAGTGTATCTGCTTTGACAGGTGCCGGTCACAGAAAAGAAGTTTTGCCCACCGGGGATCCTCACACCCAAGGCAGAAGCCAGGAAAACTGTGTCAGGAGATTCAAAAGGCAGGGACCTTAGCCATGTTAACCCCTGAATGGCAGCAGTAAAGACGGCTTTATCCACGGGACCTGAGGCTGTGCCAAAGTGAAGATGGTGCAACAACTCTGAAGAGATACAGGGAGCTGCCCTCTTGGGGTCAAACAGACTTTCCGTAGTGATGGAGCATCTACCCTTGCTACTCAAAGTGTGGTCCAGGGACCAGCAGAATCAGCACGACCTAGGAATCTGCTGTACCTGCAGAATCCTGGACCCCACCCCAGACCTCCTGAGTCAGAATCTGTATTTTAACAAAACGCCGGATGACGTGTATGCATGTTAAAGTTTGAGAAGTACATGCTACCAGCTGTCTAGTGGTTTTCCACAGTAGCAGCCTGGACCGGCTAAGAAGGGACACAGTTTGTCCAGCCTGGTGGTAAGTTGATTTCATATTCATCTCAGCAAAAGGTAATAAATAATCATTCCCTTCATGAGTACACACATTCCTTTTTCTCCCCCCCGTCTGTGGCTATTGTTTCCTTTAGTCCTTCTGAAGTGAATGTGATTCTGGCAAGGCTGTCACTGAGAAGGCTGGGCACCTGGCAGAGGCTGGCTGAGAGCAGCTCCTTCCTGGGGATTGCTAGAGAGAGAGAGAGGGCTTTTATGCTTCTGAGATTATAAGGTGCAAAGACAAGATCGGGACTGGCAGGGCTCTCTTGCTGCCGCAGACAGAGGGAATCTGATTGAGAATGAAACCAGCAGAGTCAGGCAGAGCAGAAAGATGAAGGGGGAGAATTCATTTGAACACTCAGCCCAGTTGTACCAGAAGTCAGATAACCCCTTGGACTTCTGAGTTGCATGAGCCCATAAATTCACAATTTAGCTTAAAGCAGGCTTAGGTTGGTTTTCTGCATTTTGTAACTAAGAGGGGGGTCCTGACCAATACATTCCTGAAACTGTATTATCAGTTTTTCCAAAATGGAAATTTTTGCATCTGGCTGTGGGAACAAATTCATGGTAAAGTTCACAGCCTCTAATGTGACAACTGTGTAAGTTTGCATGAGTATATGTGTTAAGTATAATCTGAGTGTAATTAAGCACAGAAGGTTTAAAACTTTTAGGCACCCATGTGCCGTAAATCCTGGTTATCTGTGTAATTGCAGCAGGCTGTATTTATTTTCTACATTTAGAGGCAATGCCTACTGAAATTAATATTCAAATGTATGCCAACTAATATGCAAACCGGCATGGCTTTGGTGCTTTAGAAAACGAGAGGATGGGATTGCAGCCCTGGTGTTTCAATGGTGCTGCTGCTTTGATGAAAGAAGACAAAGAGACCTAGAATGCAGATGAGACATGTTCCCTTGGAATACCCAATGCAAATGGAAATTTACGGCTCTGTAAACTGTTTTAAAACAGAAAACAATCTCTCAATTTAATATAGCCGTTTAACCATTCATTAATTTCCTAGATGCAGACACTGCAACTTTTCAGAAATGATGCCGCCCATGAATACAATCTACAACCGCAAAAGAAAATATGTACTTTTACTCCTGCCAAATGTCCCAAATTTAAATCTATAATTGTTTGTTCCAACTGAAACACTGAAGTCTGCCTCTCTTCTATGAAAAATTAATACCCACTATTGGACATATATTTCACTATTATGTATCTATTTCAATGTTATGTAGGGTGTGAGTATATGTATTTTAAAATTATCAGCTAGGATTAGGTTAAGTTAGGAATAACAGAAACTTGGAAAGTAGTAGCTTAAATAAAGTGGAAATTTCTTTCTTTCTTAGGCAGAAGACGTCTAGAGGTGTACAGTCCAGAGCTGGTATGGGACCTCCATAGTTTAGAACTAAAGATTTCTTCCAGCTTTCCAAAGCACAGTGCCTAGGATGTGACTCTAATCCTCTAGGTTCAAGATGGCTGCTGGGTCTCTAGCCATAACATCCAGTTTCCCCGTAGCAGGATGGAGGAAAAGGGAAAGAAGTATTTGCTCCCTCTCTTTTCAGGAAACTTCTTGAAAGTCCCACAAAGTATACCTGCTTACTATGATATTACATATCATTGATCAGAACTTAGTCCTATGCCACACCTAACTATGAGGGAGGCTGGGAAATATGGTCTTTTATCTGGGAATCCATGTGTCCAGATAAAAATCATTTTTCTATTAATTTGAGAGAGAAGCAAAAAATAGGTACTTAGAAAGCAACTGTCAAACTCTACTCCAAATATTAAATATACATTTGTTTATTGATTTATTGTGTTTTCCCCGCAAAAAACTGGCTCCATGAGGGCAAGAGCTTTATTTTGTTCATGATTGTATCCTTAATGCTAGTCTATATTTGTCTTTCCTGATTTTTTTCTATCAATTTAAGATCCTTGGTCAAGCCGGAATGCTGTCTTGAGAAGAATGCAGGGACTGCATCCAGATTTGTGAGAGAGAGTGCTGTGATCATCTAATAATGTCTGTATTGCTGTGATCAACTAATAATGTCTGCAGTGGCCAGCCCTTATGTACCAGGCTTAAAGTATTCCCACCAACCCCTAGCTTTCAACTAAAGTCTTTTGAAATTTATAGTTACTGTGACTCTAATTTAAATCTATGTGCCAAAAGGCCTTATTTAAATTTGTTGTTTAAAATGATTTATTCTAAGTAGCAACATGAGTATTCTCTGCAACATTTTTCCCCCTTATATGGAGCTCTCTTGTGCAGTTGTAAATTTTGCAGGTTTCCAGAGAGCTGCTAAAGGAATTATATGCAAATTCTAAGTTACACTGAGTTGGCAAATTCTAACTAGAAAGTTGCTGGGAAAGGGGATATTTAAAGAATAAAATGGAAAACAGGTCAGGAGTTTTGTGCTGTCAGAGGTACAATTCTGTGACATGTTCATCTCCTGAGTCACTGAGAAGACAAAAGGGGCCTGGAGGAGTGATAAGGACTTTCCAAGTTCAACACAAATGCTAGAAAGAAAAGCTCAGGCTCCACGGGGAAAAGAAGACCCGAGTTAAATTAAACTACAATTAAAAATAGCTAAGACTACTGAGTAACGTACTGAATTGCATCTGAACAATTTTGTCTTTAAAAAGCTGTCAGTGCAGCAAACTTCTTTTCCTGCCCCACACAACACATTTTCTCATCAGCAGTGGTGACAAGATGGTGACTTGATGTGGCTGTGATTCTGAAGGAGGGAATTATGCAATGCTCCATAAAGATAGACCAGAATTTCAAGGCTGTAGCTTGAAAAGCTCCCTTGATGACTCATAAAGCTTCTCCTGGGGCACGTGTCCCTCTTTCTAACTACTTGTCCACTTGTGAGTCAAGAATTACTGCCTTACTGGCATGACCTGCTTTGTTATTTAATGTTTTTTTTTTTTTTGTTTAGCTATTTCCATGGAGATTGGCCTATTTGTAAATAACATCTGAAAATTCCACGTCTTAGCTTGGGTTCCTTCCAAAGCAGAGTCTGAGAGTCCTCAGAGCAGGTATTTTATTAGGGAGGTGGTCCCAGGAAGCAGGAGTGTGAGCAAACAGGGAGAGTGAGATAGGGAAGAAGAAAAAGCCAATAGACAAGTGTGTTACTGAGGTTATGCTATGGGCAATAAGGGCTTGATTCTATCAGAACCTCCAGAAAAGTGTACCTATGTATCCCAGGATGGTCCCCCTGAAGGATGGAAGACTGTAGAACTTAGCACTTAGCACTTAGAAGACTGTAGCCAATAGTCTCCCATTCCTATTGGCTGCAGGTGGCCCCAGGGGTATTAACAAACTTCATCCTTCACCACTCCCAGGACGCACTTGCATGGACTGAGTGCCCCATGGCATCAGAGAACCTGCCCACCACTGCCCAGCAGAAAGGCCCATGGGACACACCCTCACACAGCAAGGGAAGTCTGAAATTACTGGGTGCTGTCCACTACAGTGGCAGCTGAAGTCAGAGGTGGACTGAGGGGAATGATGTGGGGGTGGGTGGGGGCAGGGTGGTACCACAGGTGTCTGCTGTGGTCCCTGACTGTGATCTGGATGAAACTCAGCAGTCTGAGATATAGCCTCCATGGTCAGAATCAATGCATTTGAGCATGCTTTCCAATTGAAGATACGGTTTAAAATCGGCGATAACCCAAAGTGACAAAGTGAAGACTAACATCCCAGTAGCCATCTTACACATATACAGATGTCATTCAAAATCCCAGACGCTCTTCTCTCTCTTCCTGCTACTGAATTTGCAAATTTTTCTTGTGTTAGCGACACTCTCCACTCAGGGGTAAGGTTGAAAAGGCAAGGTGGTGAAAATAGAACCTATCAAGTATTCTTCTTCTTTTTTTTTTTGCGGTATGTGGGCCTCTCACTGCTGTGGTCCCTCCCGTTGCGGAGCACAGGCTCCTGACGTGCAGGCGCAGCGGCCATGGCTCACGGGCCCAGCCGCTCCGCGGCATGTGGGATCTTCCCGGACCGGGGCACGGACCCGTGTCTCCTGCATCGGCAGGCGGACTCTCAACCACTGCGCCACCAGGGAAGCCCTGTCAAGTATTCTTGTTAGAAGCTCTTCTAAAAGTCCTTATGAAAGAAGAGGCCGAATTTATTGGCTAAAATGAGATTTGGGGATTACATGTGGTTTTAATTTCTCCACGCTAGCCAACTTCTATAGTTAATGGGACATGACTCATAATCCTGACTAATCGGCACAAAACACAGAAAAGAAAGATGTATCAGCTGCTTATCACTGTTGAGGCTGCACGTCCTGGGTGCCATGGGCACGGTGGGCAAAGGGTACAGAGGCAGTGTGGCATGGTGACAACTGCAAAGGCTTTGTGAGTCTGAGTCTGCCCCTGGCTAGCCATGAAACCGCACTGAGCCTCAGTTTTCTCAACTGTAAACGGAGAGCTATCATAGCTGCCTTGCAGGGCTATTGGAAGGATTAAGCATTACGTATTATCCAAAGGATGTGGCATATCAAATCTGCATTTATTACAAGTCAGTTAATAAACACATGAAAAATCTAGGTTCCATTGCATATCCCACTTTGACTTAGTTTCTGGGTAAAGCTTACATTTACTGAAATGAATGGCTTTGACTCGTGTGGACTAAGTCTTTGAAAATAAAATTAGAAAACCCCTTGGGTTCATGTTGAACTGAGGTGCCAACAGGGAAGTGTACTCCCCATTTTATCCATCCCAAGAAGGAGCAATCTCCTAGTGACCAGAATAGCAGCATGTAGCAGTAAGTGGTCTTATAAACGTTCCCTACTCGTATGGCCACTGCTCATACTTTGGATGTGACGAGATGAGACGCATGGAGCGGGATGGACCCTCGGTGGTGTCTCATCATCCCCAGCTGTTTGGATCCATCATATCATAGAGGAGGATTTGGTTCAGTCTGCAGCCCAAGGTAGACCTCTCCCAAGAGATACACGGCAAGTTGAAATCTGGGGATTTATTGTACAAAGTCGTCACAAGAGATGCACCGGCATGCCTACATTTAAGGGAATTCATTTCCAGATCCTCAACTTTCATATATACTCTTTCTACAATTGAGTGGGAGTTCTGAAAACAAAACTGTTTCTCTATTCCATATTTCCTTTCATAGTCTCCCTTCTCCCACTTTAGAGAAGCATTTATTTCTCACCCAACCCAAGTCATACTAAGATACGTTGCCCGGGATGTAAAAACCTCTGTGGTATCAAACAAAGGGCGTGTTAGAAGTACAGAACATTTTTAAAGGATCTTGTTTTTTCATACTCTAGATGTTGCCAAAGAAACATTTTCTGTGGAGGGAGATCCCTGTGACTTTTGATGAGGCAAATTGAAGGCAGAGTCTTGTTTCATAGAAAGGCTGGGGGTATTATCTGTCTCTCTGTAGTGGATGGTGGTCAAAGCAAAATGTCTTAACATGTTTGTTTGGATTAACATACAAAGTTAGATATATTCTGACAGAAAGTTAAGCCTGATTTGGCTGACTGGTTAGACATCAAGAAACCAATTTTATACGGCAGACATTTTTCCATTAATGAGATCAAGGTATAGCTCCAAGTTTGTATTAAAATATATTTAAAGCCAGTGATAAGATTAAAGCATTTAACAAAAAATATTATATTGGAAAAGCCCTAATGAAACAAGCAATAATTGATTTTCCCAACCCTTTACGTGTGTATCAGGCTAAACAAGGTGCCCGTAAGCGAAAGAGTAAAATGTACAAATGCTAGTCATTTGATAAGTCTTGGTAGAGACACTTTGATATACTTCTCAGCATTTAAGAGAGAGGATGGCTGACTGGGTAACGAATCCTTTTGCGAGTTGGGTGGGTTTCAACTCTTTGCTTTCAATAAAATTGAAGGAAGACCTAATTGAGTTGTCATCTCTCAGACATTAAAAATAATTTGTGGTGATAGATCACTTTGTTACTTTTTGATGTAAGCATCAGAAAGAATTCAAAGAAATGAATAGTGCCTCTAAAACAGACCTATTTGCTTTCCATGCAAGCCTATCTATGTATTTATGTGAGCAAAGTATCTCAGCAGTTCCACTGTAAAACAAGAGTGAGTAGAAATAGATTGTTGCTGAAGTCGTCTTATTCTAGCAAAAAGTAATGTTTATTCGTGGAGCATCAACTGATTGAAAACAGAAGCCTCAGCTCTCCCACTGAAAGATGCATTTTCAATAAAATTTGAATTTTATGTTTAAAAATTATTTATTAAGATTGGAAATATATTGATACTTTATTGCCAAGAAGTTTATATCAGTATGAAAGTCCATGGGTAATGTAGAATCAAAATAAGAGTTCAAAGAGAAAAAGTAATGATGTGAGATTTGCAACAGTAAATACGATAAATAGTTGAAATGTTAACTTAAAAATGTGTTGAGGGGGTACATTAGTTTTCAAAAATTTTATTAGAGGATAGGCAAGTGAAAAAAAACCCACCATTGCAATAGGGAGCTGCCTATAGTCCTTTGGAATAATGCATTCCTTGCTGGCATGGGGAAGGGGGAGAGAGGGTAGAGGTGCCAGCTGCCTCTTGGGGATCCTGTCTAGTGACTAGTTTCATGGGATTTTGATTTGTAGTCTAGGCTTCCTTCTTCTTCTTCTTTTTTTTTTTTTGCGGCACGCGGGCCTCTCACTGCTGTGGCCTCTCCCGTTGTGGAGCACAGGCTCTGGATGCGCAGGCTCAGCGGCCATGGCTCACAGGCCCAGCCGCTCCGCGGCATGTGGGATCTTCCCGGACCGGGGCACGAACCCGCGTCCCCTGCATCGGCAGGTGGACTCTTAACCACTGCGCCACCAGGGAAGCCCTAGGCTCCCTTTGACTGTGCCTTGAAATTCTGGATTAACATTGGAACCAGCCTTACATCTTAACCTGAACTGGGCCTTCTCTGTCATTTCAGACCGTCTCTAGTTCAGATTATAGCTTCCTCTTTGAAGTTATCCTTGACGTGTATTTCTCTTGGCTGGTTCTCACCGCTACTTTAATCAAGCCTCTGAAGCAGTTATTTTGTTTGTTCATTCATTCATTCACTCATTAATTCATCCATTCATTCAGTAAATATGTAGGTGTCAGGCACTGTGTAAGGTGCTGGA